CACCACCTCGCAGCCATTGCTGGCCAGCGCAGCTGCGTTGCCGCACTGCATAATGGAGCAAAATGTCCCCAAAGCCACTTACTCTTTATTTGCCACCCGAGGACAGCGTGTTGCCCCTGGTAGGGCACAGACAGACTGAAGCTATCGTCCGTGTCTTGGGGAGGAGGGCAGGTGGGGCCAGCTCTGCTGCATGTGGCGCAGCTTCTCTGCCTGCAGATCTGCCCTGCACGTGGGACAGCTTGTCTGCCTGCAGATCTGCCTGCCCCTTCAGCATACACAACTCATGGAAACTCAGCCAGACTGTGGAAAGCGAGAGCAGAGCGGCAACAGCAGCAGCAGAGCGGCATTCGTTGCAGAACAAGCTGCACAGCTCCATCTGTCCTCACATGCGGGGCACGCTGCAGCCTGACGCCCTGCCAGCACTGCCACCATCATGTCCCTGTGCCTGGGCTCTGGTGGAGCAGCCCTGAGACCCTCTGTCCCCCCAAGGAGTGGAGGTGCCATGGGAGAGGGGGCCAAGCTAGGCTCTAGCCTTGAATAACCCTCCCTGCTTGCAGATGACTCCAGAGCCATGGTGTTTCCTCGGGTCTGGAGGGCCACGTCTCTGGTCTTGCAAGGAAATGCTCTTTTAGAGGAAAGAGCTGTATGAAACTTCATGACCTCCCTTATGTAAGATAGGCCGATCTGAAAAAGTGAGCAGAAAGCATTGCAGCACAGCGCTGAGGGACACAGACAGATGCTTCTCAGTTTGGCGAGTCTCCCTGGATTGCTTGTGTTAAGGCTGCTGGGCTTGCCTGGCCAATTTGTATTGGAAGACTGGTAAGGTGCAATTCATTAGACCAGATGGAGACATCTACACCTCATCCCAGTCTCCACATCCGAGCCAGGGTGGGTGAATCGCACCCTAGGAGTGCTTATTCCTCTCTGTGGACTGCAACTCTGCGTGCCATGAACAGCACAGAGGCAAATGCGCATATGTGTCTCGGGCTAAGTGAAATGGCTCATCTCACACATAGTGCAGCATGCCCAGCTGGTCAGGATGAGACCTTGATTCGTAGGCATGTGCTTTGGATTTTAAGCATGTGATTGTTTCCATGATAAGCAATACTTCAAGCCCAGCGTAGGCTACATATGCCACTGGAGGAGGACTGGCAAGGGGAGGTAACGCAGTGACTTGAAGAAAGAAGCTAAATCTCTGCAGGGCACCTCCAGAGTGATTAATTAAATCCAGCACCTATGGAAAAGCAGTCTCATTTTTCAAGAAGGTGGGCATCTGCAAGTCCTCCTGTGGGCACTGGAGAAGACTCTTCCCAGCAAATAGGAGTTTTTATCCTAAGTGAGGGCAGACATCAAAGCAAGTGAATACCTGAATGCAGTGTTGCGAGGTCAGTGTGTTTATGGCAGAGCCCCTCAAAGAGGGGCACATGGCACTGAACTGCATGAAGGTTTCCAAGTAAGACAGGAGCAGTTAAAGTGAGCGATGGGGGTGACTGGCATCTTTTGCAGGGTGTGTGCTTACCTTGTAGAGAGCAGACATTGAGGCAGAGCCCACCACCAGGGCTATCCCAATAACGGAGTGGCTGTGAAACCCATCAGCGTACGTCATCATAACGATCCCTGCAATAGCAAATATAGCAGCCACGATCTGGGTGGAGACAAAGAAAGAAAGCAAGTGTTACTGGACAACCCCCAGCATGGAAAAACATGAGAGCAGCTTTAAATAAGAGGGCGGTAATTCTGCATCATCTGCTCTCCTCCTTATGTAGAAAACGAGTAACAAGTCAAGGCCGGTACCCACGGAGCCGATGCTGCCTCCCCTCGTGGCTTCCCTGGCTGCAGAGAAGCTGCAGGCAGAGCTGCAAAGGAGCAGCTGCCTCGGGGCGGTGTGCGGCAGGCCAGGCCACGGGACCCTGTGTCTCGGACTGAGCTGAAGGGGGGATTTCATCTCTGTCACTCAGCCTCCCCATCAGCAGGTCCCTGCAGCCTGTGCGTGACAGTAATACACAAGTAATAATTCCCTGGTGCCTGCAGGAAAGGCTCTGAGTCCTGAGGAGGTTTTGGAGGAAAATGGTTTTTGAAATAAACAGAGAAATAAAACTCATGCAACTTCTTTCCAGTTCAGGCGTGTTATTTCAGAGAGTAGAGGCAGGCTCAGTCAGCTGGCCAGGCCCACAGCAATGCCTGAGGGGGATCGTGCAAAGGAAGGTAGCATTCACGAAGGAAAGGGACAGGCTGCCCTTGCTTCAGCAGGGTCAGCAAGAGACCCCCCGCTTCTCTGGGACTGTCCTGCCAGATGCCTCAAGCCTACCAGGGTGGTAATTCTGGGGTGAAAAGGGCTTTCTGCATGCTCCATGCTTCCTGGCTCTGCAGTGGTGTGAGGGACACCCTGCTTAGACCATATCCCCTTTGGCTGCACAGTCATGGTGATGCTTCTAAGATGATCGGGATAAATGAATTTATTTTGACCCATAGCTGGATCAGTGCCAACCAACTGTCCCTTCTCCCAGGGCCAGACTGGGGTTTTAAGCCCCATCCACAGGCTGCAGCTGCCTACACATCCAAGAGCAATGGCCTCCTCCATTCACCACTAGAGGTGCTGGGGCTGCTGTGAAGATGCAGGGGGAAAGCCTGCGTACCAAGCTCTGCTGCCGCCTGATGAGCAAGCTGCAGTGGGGGGACCCCTTTATCAGCTGCAGGTCCCCATCCTGGCAGCACCAGCAGCCTTTTCCCTGGGTTGAGCTGGGGCTGGTGCCAGGCGGCCCCTATAAAGCTTCCACAGGCAATCACCCAGCAGAGCCCTCCTGCACACTGACATCAACACCTCCAATTTCCCCATAACAGAAAAATTGCCCCATTTTTGCAAAGAGAAGGCAACCAATTTCTCCAAAGAAATGTAGAATGGCAGGGTGGTGTAAGGGTAGAAAAAAAGCCCGTATCAGCAGAAGCTGCTGACACTGCCTGGAACATACAGCTGCTAACAGCATCGCAACAAGAAGGGGCTTGAGTCTAGAAACTGCTGCACTGCTGTTCAAGATGCTGCATGAGCACAGCTTCGGCAGGCTATGGAGGGGCAGGGTTTCCCCCATCTGCTCAGCCACTTGCACGGCCCAGCCGATGGGCAGCAGGTTCTGAAGATGCCGATTTATGACCTGATCAGAGCAGAGCTGGGTGCAAGCTGCAAAGACTGGATATGCAAGCTGCAAAGACTGGATATGCACGCTGCAAATCTGGGGACATTCAGATTTGGCATCTTGGCTTGCAGCCCTGTCGGCATCAGATCTCTCCATGCACAGCTGTGGGGCATCACTTCTAAAGCGAAGCTTGGTGGTGGTGAAACTGGGCCCTATGGTCCTGGACAGGCTTCTTTTTTGAGGCAAGGAGAGGAAAAGCCCCAATGCATGGCTCTACAGCAGCGTGGGGCTGTTTCAGATAGGCAAGACTGAAGGAGCTCGATAGCCCTCAGCAGTTCTCTCATGTCAGCGTGCTGGTGCTTGTCAAATAAAAATTCAGACACTCTGTGTGGCTTCAGAGGCACAAGAAAAAAGGTCATTGAATGATTCTAGTATAGGGCAGGTGCAGAACAAATAAAAAGATATTTGTCTTCACCCAACATATAATTTAGCCAAGGAAATCTTTGCTGTTGGACACTGTGGATGTGAAAAGTTTACAAGGATAAACTCAGGGAAGAAAAAAAAAATCCATCAAGCACTATTAACTATAGGAACATTGCTTCCACCTCAGGAAGTCCTTGAGCCTCAAATTGCTGGAGGCTGGAAAGTCTCATGAGGAAGTATCATTATAGGCTTTTCCTGTTTAGACAGATTTTTCTAGGTGCCCACTACAGGCAGCTGCTAATGCCAGGCTCCTGGGGCAGACGCACCTTTGTTGTGACTCAGTATGACTTTGTAGAGCTGCACCATACATGGCTCGGGCTTATCTGAAAGTTGGCAACTCCAGCCCTTCAGCAACACCTGTGATACAGCCCAGGTGACAAAGAGTTGAAGATGCAGTGTTTCCTGTAGCAGCTGCTCCAGGTGTGGCCATCTCTCATCCAAGATGCGTGGGGTTTGTCTGACCTTCACTGGAGAGCTGGGAGGAGACCACAGCCACAAGTCAGGCTGGGACAAACGGCTGGTACCTCCATGTGTACCAGCGAAGGGAGCCTGCCTGAGCCCCCACTGGCAGCAGCAGCTCCATTGCAGTGGAAACTTGGAAGGTGCATTACTGAACTGCAGAATAAAAAGCATCCAGCTTTGCTTTTGACGCCAGGGGCTGGCTGACTCCAGAGCACCTCCCTGGAGGCTGGGTCTCTGCCCGGTTGGAAAGGAAGACTACAATTTGGTATTTGATAGTATATTGATTTCCAAGTCCCGCTGGCAGGTGTGCTTGTCTACACATTATGTATGCAGGAGGTACTTGCAAGTGATGGTTCTCTTGGATCCTGAGCTGTTTTACTTACTGTAGCACAGAGGGAAACACCGAAGTCAAAGATCAAAGCAAATAAATGCAGTCTGCAAAGAGTTTTGCTGGGGCAGAAGTCCTTGCCTCTTTTATCAAGCATGTCACGAGTGTCAGGTGAGTCTTGGTCTCTCGCCTGTTGACATGTCAGGCATGTCACATACACTGTCTCTGGAAGCCTTTCAGCCTGTCTATCAAGCGTCTTGTTAGCGGCAGTGACAGGCTGCTTGCACTACACCATGCCGTGGGTACCGGCCTGCAGTTACTTGCAAATGCCTCAGCACTGCAGGTCTTGCAGAGGCCACGCTTCAGGCACTCACAGCTTCATTACATGTGTGTCTTCTCTGAAAGCAATAGAGCAGCTCACAGCCCAGCTGGACCGTTGCTCTGGGCACAGTGAAGGGAAAGGAGGAGAAGTGCAACTTCATTACAAGAGATGTAGGCACTTACAAGTGCCTGAGCAGCGAGGATGGGATTTTGTAGCTTGCTCTCACATTTAAATTCCAGCCAAATTGTGATTTAAGTGCTCACAGAGCTAGTAGTTGCACCTCTGAAGACCAAGTAGGATACTACTTGTACATGCTTAAACCCCACTGAGCTGCTGCCTTTCTCACCTGGCCTCTCCAGCAGGTGTGAACAGGGACACCCAAATGTACCGTCAGAGCTTTGCTGTGGCACTATCCCTGCTGCTGCAGTGCCAGGGGGATGGAGCGGGAGCGTAGGAGGGCTCCCGCTCACCACAGGGCAAGGCACCGTCCCCCCTGCAGCCTCATCTGCCAAATACCCTCTCAAAGGGTGCTTCTAAAAGGGTCAGCAGCTCTGACACAGAGTGGCCCTAAGGGACTGCGAGATTTGGGGTCAGGCTGTGTGCTGGCTCACGGTCCCTAGGTTGGTCCCAGAGGAGCCCCAGCAGCTGTCCCTCCTCCTGGTTGCCAGTCCCAGGAAGAAGGCTTTGTTTTAGGGTTCACCTCGAGGCTATCCCCCAGCACACCAGGCAGTGCCACCCTCAATGTCTGCTGCTTTTCACGTGGGCTGTACAGAAAAGAGAAGAAAATGCATCTCACCAGGGAACTCCACATTACATCCCTCTGCAGACAGACGCGTCCCCAGCGCTCCCATGGTGGCAAACGAAGCTGGGTGGCAGGACTGCTGTGCTGCCCCATGCCCTGCCAGTCTCTAGGGTCAAGTGTCTCCTCACTCACATTTTGTCACTGGTCGGGATGACATGTCTGCTCAAGAGCAAATAGCCCAGTCCTCCTGTGAGCCCCTTCCTCCTGTGCCCAGGCCCCTTGCTGGCTTGTCACCAGGGTAGGAGATGGCCATGTTCCTCCTTGGGCATGGAGGTGGCTTCTCAGGAAGCTCCCCTCCCCTCACCCACTACCCCTCACCAGTGCCAGGTGCCACGGTGAGGGGCTGGAATGTGTGGCAGGGGGGGCATCCCATGGCCCCCACCACCCTGGCTCCTGCTCTGGGGCTCTGCTTCATTGCTGCTTTCCAAAGGCAGTGCTAAGAAATGAAGGACAGCTGGACATGGCTGAGACCACCACTTGCCTCTGCTTCCCTGCTCTCTCCACTCCTTCTGCGCCTTTGGGAAGGGGGGATCCAGAGCAGGATTCGTCCCCCAGCACATGTCACCTGCCATGGCAGAAGACCTAGCCTGGCTGGGAAGCTGCTGGAGAGCCCCTGACCACCCTGGCTCTTCACTCATGGTCATGCACCCGGGAGAGCACAAGAAGTGTCTTCGTTCCAGCATGTGTGTGCCTGTGTGGGTATCCATCCCTACACACAACTCGGCCTCTCCCCCACCCCAGAACCACAGCTGTATCCAGCGGTGAGATACGGCACGTGCAGACCAAGGAGCAAGCTGCAAGCACGGGAGAGCTGCGGTCAGCCCTCTACACTCCTCCTGTGCTGGCGTCCCACCAGCACTACAGCTGACAGCGCCACAAGATGGCTGAAGACAACAAAAATACACTTGCCTTTTTTTTTTTTTAATTTTATGAAAATGGCCAGTACAGCCAGCTAGGATAACAGCAACACTCCCATGCCTCCAGAATCATTGCAGGATGCCCTTGTTTCTATACTCAAAAAACCCAGTTAATTTGTTTTCAGGGTACAGCTACCTGGGCAGGTGGGTGGGCAAGCACAGACACCAGCTGGCCAGGCCGGGCTTTTGGCAGGTACATTTTGCAATGATTCCCAGAGCAGCCTCTTGGCTGCCACCACCACAAGGCTGGCCAAGGTCTCCTGCCAAGCTCTCCTGCTGGAGAGGAACGCTTCCCAAAAAGTTAACTCTCAGTTGCTCCATGCAGCGAGGGCTAACAACCTCTTCCAAACACTGAAAGCATTGCCTGGGTGGTTGAGCAGAGAGCTCCTCAAATGGTGGGCAGAAAATAGGTATTATTACTGTTATTGCTGTTAATATTAATAAGTGCCTGCTGGTGCAGCGAGGCAGGAAGGACTCACTGGTGCCTCTTCCTTGCAGTTACTCCTGGTCCTGGCAGGACCCCCTTGGCCCCGGGGTGGTGGGTTACCCACCCGCCCGGCTCTGCTGCCAGAGGACACCGTGTGCTGAGGGCTGCCAAAATGGCAGCAGGGTCAGCAGGGAGCTGCGGGGGTCTCTGATAACCCCCCTGCCGCATGCAGCTCTGTTGCCACTGTGGAGCAGGCGTTCACGTGGGGTGTAGGACTAAGGGTGTAAGCAAACATTTAGGATGTTACCAGCAGAGCAGCCCCAGGGGAGAGGACCCTCCACCCCACTGCCTGACATGCTGCCTGGCCCCATGGCCACAGCTGCTGGCCAGATGCAAGTCCCTGTGCACTGATAACCCCCCTGCCGCATGCAGCTCTGTTGCCACTGTGGAGCAGGCATTCACGTGGGGTGTAGGACTAAGGGTGTAAGCAAACATTTAGGATGTTACCAGCAGAGCAGCCCCAGGGGAGAGGACCCTCCACCCCACTGCCTGACATGCTGCCTGGCCCCATGGCCACAGCTGCTGGCCAGATGCAAGTCCCTGTGCACCAGCATTGCGCCAATCCCCCACCAGCGATGCACGTACACACGAGGGCAGGCCAGCTCTCCTCTCCACAGCTGCTGCTGACTGACATGGGTGCAAAGAATAACTGTGCCACCCTGCAAGCCTGCTGTCACACGTAGAAAGGTGAGGGCCCCATTAAATTCACAGGTTGGGACCAGAAACACACTGCACGCAGCTGGGGCTTGCAGGAATGTGCACTTAGAAACAACTAGGTCTGGTGCCACAGCCTGGAAACAGTCACGGGGAAGGGGCCAGCAAAGGCTGACGCACGTCCACAGCAACATGGAGATAGCAACTATCCTTTGTGCCACACTCTGGAGCAAGTTACCTGTTTTCTGAACGAAAATACACAAAGGCACGAGGCTGGGGAAATGGGGAGTCTGGGAGCTCACAGGCACCTGGGCAGGCTGCAGGGAAGGACGCGTCCCTGCTCCGCAAGGATTTCTGTGCCCGCTCAGCTGGCTGCATTGGGTGCTGCTCGACTGGGCTGGCAGGAGGGAAGGGGAAAAGGAAAGGCAGAAGGGCGAGGGGGAAGAAGGGAGACAGAGATAAGGAGTCACTTACCCTCACTCCCATGAACCTGTCCCTCAGAACGATCCATGAAAGCAAGAACACAAAAGCTTTGTTGCAGCAGAACAACACGGAGACATCCGTAGTGTTTATTTTCTTTATTGCATGTAAGTAAAGGTAGTTTGTGAGTGTCCAAAGAACACCAAAGGGTGCTGCCTTGGTAAAAAACACCTTCAAAGTCAAGCCATTGTCTCCAAAAAATCGGCAGCACTCCCTAAAACAAGGGGAGAAAGGCAGTATTATTACACAAGCCAGTCACAGTCTGCAGCAAATATATGTTTCTTTTCTTTCTTGCTCCTCTTCTTTTCTTTGGGGAAAGAGGGGCACACACCTTAAACAGGAGAACAAAAACAAGTTTCAGCATCTGTTGCAACAGTGGTATGAACAGGCGTGGGCTGCAAACATGGGAGGGACAGCAACAAAAGAGCGAGGGGAGAGGTGAAGCCAGGAGGTGCAATTTCACCCTTGCCATGAGCGCCTTCACGGTGGACATCTTGAAACGGTGCGGGGTCATCCTCGCCCTTTCACCCCTGTGGGCACCGGGATGCTGAGGTGCCAGGGCTGGCAGCAAAGCCCCTTGCTCCTCGCTCCTGCTGCAGCCACGGGACCCTAGTGCCCATCTGTGCTCCTCTATGCAGGGCTTGGAAGGAGCCTCACAGGAGCCTGGTTTGCGGTTTTTCCACCCAAGGGGAGGGATGTGGCTCAAGCCCCCCAGCAGCAGTAGGGGCAGGAGCCGGAGGAGACGGCTGGCAGCTGCCCGCTCCCTCTGGGGTGAGAACATGCACTGGGACATGGCGCGGTGGCACCCGGGGACACGCTGGGTCAGCTGGAGCAGCAGCGTGGAGTCAGGAGCTCACATGTACAGCGAGGGCTGGGGATGCTGCGAATCCCCAGGCGGGAGGCTGCCAGAGCAGGTACGGCCCTCATGCAGGAAGAGGAAACACCAGCGCTTTATTCGTGTCCCGGATGCGCTGGCGGGGAAAAGGAGAACAGGAGGTGATGGGTGCAGCCTGGCCCTGCTGGCATGGCTCCGGGAAGGCAGCGGGTGGGGGCCGGGATGGGGCCGCAGGGGTCACCTCTGTGGAGGTGCTGCCAGGGGAAGCCTGCATGCAACCCGCTTCTGCCAGGCAGCAGAGCTGGGAGCTGCCGGCTGCGCTGTCTGCATGGAAATGCAACAACGCAAAGAAGAAACGCAGTGGTCTGCGAGGCGGAGGGTGCAGCCTGCAGCCTGCTGAAGTGTGCAGGTGGCAGTCAGCGGTGGTGCCGCGGCCTGTGCTGGCTTTGCTTGCTTTCAAACCTGCAAAACCCCTGAGGCCCTGAAGTACTTTAACGAGGTGCTTTGACAAAATCTGAGCAAAATTAAATTTTCCTCTGACAATGAATGCCAAATAGGTTTTCACTGCTGCCTTGAATGTCAAGCTGTTTGTTTCCTGAGATTGGGCATGTAAGGCTCATTATTTGGAGTCTGATGAAAGTGTGATTTTGATCCGCTTTCTCAGAAGATGGGGCTGTATCAGGTGATTACCTAAAGAAACCCATCCACGCTCTGAGCCTCTTCAGATTCCCCCCATCACTAACTCTACACCTGTCTACACCCCCTTCCGCTGCAGCAGGTACAAGGCTGGAGGGTAGAGGAAATGCATTTTTTTGTGTCTGTTGGGTTTTGTCGCCTGCCACTCTCTTATACCAAATCATGGTTGTGCAGAACTTGCCCATCGCTGGATGTGATGACCCTGGGCTTTGGCTGCTGTACGCGGACCCTTCCATCTGAGCAGCTGCTTCTGCATCGTGTCACTCAGTGTCACAGCCAGCACATCAGTGTCCCTTGTCCTCTATGAAATTACCTGCTGGCAGCAGCCTATTCCCTGCCAAACCTTTTAACTGCCTCTCTATATCAGTAAAAGAGCTACCCCTCTGCACCAGAAACCACAGCCTGACTTCCCACCTTGCCGGCACCGTGCAAGGCCGTTCAGGGATGCACGCAGCACTGACAGACGCTGCCGGTGCTCAGCACGTGGCCTGGATGCACTCTCCCCTTCCACAAACACTATATCCAATTCAAGTCTGGCCTTCAGCCCTGCGAAGCACTGCCTGCACCAGCCACCTGCCACAGCGGACACAGGCAGTGCACGGGGACGCAGAGAGACATTGGAAAACCCCATCCCAAACTTCACTAGAGGCTTAAACCTGCTTCCCAAGACACCGGGGGGGGTTTGACTGCCAGGGTGTCACAGGCAGCCAGTCTAATGCTCTGAAGACAAAAAACGCAGGCACAGTTTAAATTAAATGACGTTAAGTAAGATTAGTATGAGAAGGACAGGAAGGCCACAGTCAAATGAAGGGATTAAAATGGAATTTATGTTGGGAATCATTCTGGGGGAGAAAAGTTCCTCCTGCCAAAAATCTGTTCCCCACATATAGAATTGGGTATCACTGTTTCATATACAGTAGAAACACGTGCTTTTACTGTACTGTGGTCCTGATTCTTGTTCAGCAGATACCACTGGATCTGTACAGTAGCACAGCCTGGCACTCGCCCCCATCCCTGAAGCACCCAGTGTAGTGCCATGATGCCCCAAAGGACAGCGTTGCCCAAGCATGGATCAGGACCCTGAGCTGTATTTTCCCCTTCGGGAGTCTCCTCTCACTGCTCTATGCAATAAAGCTTCCTTTTAGCTCTTTTGTCTGGTTTCACCAAGTCTGAATTGCTTCTTGCAGGCTAGCTCTTTATGGCAGAGGTTTCCCCATCCGGTACAGGTTGTAAGGGAGCTTCTCCCCGAGGACACCTGGGGCTGCGGAGGGTGCTACCAGACATGCACCCACGTGCACAGCGAGTGCCATTGTCCAAAATGAGTGCACTGCTGAC